ATTATCTTTGAAAACCTCGAAAATAAGCAAACAATGTATGGGCTCAACACATTTTTGCCACCCGGCAATTTCACAGTTTTCGATTGCTGTTACTTCCTTTGTTATTGCTTGCAAAAGGTTGAAAATTGCAGAAATTGCTCAAATTAACTTTTTCAACTTTTCAATTAAATTTGTGCATACGGTCACGCTTTCTATGGGTAAATACGTATATTAATGAGGAAAAATTTAACCAATGACGTCTGCAAAGATTCGCCTAAACTGTTCAGAAATTTATTCGCTGAGTAATAAGTTAGAAACACCTTGTACAGCCGCAGTAATGATCAGCTAAAGAGAGAACTGTTCAACAGTCTCTATTCAAAGACTTATCAAATTCAAGCTACAACAAACAAAAAATTCACGGTCGGACTCCAGGATAAAAGCGTTTACACACATTACTGCAAAAGAAATAACAATTCTTCGACTTTACCAGGCTTTTTGCTGAGGTGCGGTATAAGAGACAAGTCCCAAGCGCCACTTAACCCTGTAAAGAACAAACAAACAAAGAGAGTAAAGCGTCTAAACCCAGTTTCAAGCTTTTAAATTTACACGAACAAGTCTCGTTTATCTTGGAAAACTTCATGGTGTCAAGGTGGCTCTTATCTGCCTGAGAAGAAAAGGGGCCATTTCGCCCAGTAGCCAATCAGCATTGAGTATTTGGAGCACGTGAACGATTTCGTCCAATGAGTGTGCGAGAAAATTTCGGTGACGCCGGAGAGACTAATGTAGTACAAGTCACTGACGACACTAAAATGTTCTCAAGCCCTGATTGAATGAAATCGGTCACGAGTTGCAATTACTCAACTCTGACTGGCTACTGGGCGAAGTGCTCCCCTTTCCTACTCGCCGCTTTGCGCTTTGGATGCCAGTGGCACCAGTTACTATTTTACCACATGTGACTTACATGAACATTTTTTTCGCACGCCTCGCCCTGCATACATTTGTCTTTAGTTCTAATAAGTTAAGTTGACTCTCTGTGTACACAGTAAATAAGCATAGATCAAAAAGAGAAATATTGACGCGGATTTGTTTGCAAACAACCACTCTAGCAGTAGTAAAATGCCAATATACCCTGAGTCTGTAGACTGCAGGCTGTTTTATTCAGTCGTGAAACGTTGGCAAGCCAGGATAGATGTTACGAATGAAGCAACTCTTATTGACAATCATTTTATCTCTTCATATCCAGTCTTTTATATCTTAATCGATAAGATTTTACAGAAAAACGTGCGTTACACCCGTTTGCACTCCTTTTATCTTCGTTTTTTTTTTTGCTGCCCTTTTTGACAAACCACTATTTAATGTATTTTTTTAAATGAGTAATATTTTCGACGTGGGCCCTTTCGATGAGTTTTGTCACTAAAGGCGAACTTCGCCTATAAAAATATGTCTCAAGAGGAAAAGTTTAACGTCCAGAAGGAATTTGGGAGTGGTAAAGACAAACTGCACCCAAGTCGACGCCGCGCATTAAGGTGCCATTTCCATAACTAGAATCTCACGGCGTCTTTCCTTCGCGGGAGGCTGCAAATGTGTCACGAGTCCAGTTTTTTCGGACCCTCTTATAAGAGATTCTCTTTGCGAAACAACTTGCCAAGAAAGTGAACTCACCTAAAACTTTCGATGCAAGCAAGCGTCCGATTTTCGGGTAAGCCTTCAGTTTCTCCAGTCCGTCAGAAAACCCTTCTATCTCAATCATGGAGAAACGTGCATTGATATATTGAAGCTGAGAACTGAGATAAATAGGCGGAAATACTAACATAAGAACAATCAAGATGTTTTTGCTTTGAAAATATGCCTTTGATATTCTACACAAAGACGCGCAAAGAAAGTAAAGAATGCGAGCTAATGTCACGGCCATGAGCAATAATCCGCAAAATTGGAGTCCAATTATGTAGCGAAAAACTTCGAGCTCTTTGTGAAAAGGAATCAAGTTGTATAACGGCCCAGAAAATGTTCTGCCAAGAAACAGAAAGAAGGTGACAGAAAATAACAACCCAAGCCAAATCAAAAGTGTTTGCCGTTTTGTGAGGTGACCAATGTCTTTAAGTTGCCAGGAACAAACACAAGCAAGCCCCGCAACAAATCCCAACGTGATAAATGGAATTTTCCTTTCGTGGTCAAACAAATCGCCAGACAAAAGACTTCTGAGGACAAACTTAAAGCTGTGGCCATGCTCGTTTTCACTCTTCCAAGGAAGCCCGCCCATGTAGTCAAAGTTATTAAGTAACGGAATTATCCACCAAGATAGCAATGCGATACTTAGAAAATGCACGTAAAAAGCTCGCCAGATTGAAGGCGAGAAGAGCTTTCCTCTAAGCGGGTTAGTGTTTGAAAGCATGTCTATTAGCAGAGTAACTCCAGTAACAATGCCGAGGTAGACACCAAAGAATGCATTCGCGGTGAAGTTGAAGACGATGAAAAGGATCGTACCGTTTCTTGAACCGCTGTTGTAGAGTACATATTGATATAAAAATCCAACTGAAGAGAAACAAACAGTAGGAAAATAATGTTAAGAATTAATGTTTTCCAGGGAAAAACAGTACCGAGACAACTGCGCCGAGCCATGGGAAAAAACCGGCTGCATATAAGGATGTAAATGCACATATCAGATGCGGGAAGCCGAAAGACACCCAATAAACATACCAATGGTTACAAGTTAAGTACATTTATTTCCTTTGTTTACTACTTACAATACTCCACGATACCCAGTTTAACCCTTTAAGCCCTAAGAGTGATCAGCATAAAATTTCTCCTTGTAATATCAATGCTTTGTAAAACAGACTGTCATGAGAATTACGGACATGATCACACAAGATAAATTTGGTTGATATTTTATCAATTTCCCCCACTGCTTCTGTAGGAATTAGAACCCCCATCTCGGATAAGGGGCTCTCCTTATCTTTTCAAACATGGGTCTTCCAAAACTTTAGCCAAATATCTCACATTTGCCCAAAAGACTTGTTCTAAGTCTCACATTTTCAAGACTTCGAGCGTTTTAAAGCTGCAAGTAGGAAGGTGGCCTGCAATATTTATATATTTCCTCTGTTTACTCTGTGTTTTGCAACGATACTCAATGGTTGTTTACCATTTACATGGGCAAACTGCGTGACGGTCGGTTCACGGTTTTGGCAAATGTTGATCAAAATTCAAGACTGGTATATTTTGTCCCCGAATTGTGTTCGCCATTTGCACTAATCAGTTACATTTACCGAAAAACGGCCGCGAAAGACTGAAACTGGTATCAAAGACGGGCTTTGAAGAAACGGAACACGAATTTCCGTTTGGAACATTCCGACCGGAAAAACAGGACTACCATTTCAGACGTTCCGTTGCTCCCGGAAGTTTTACACCGAAACGTCCCGAACAGTCATGTTCCATTTACTTTCTAACCGGATTTTCCGGAAACTTTCTGTAAGTAGTAAAGAAACAAGGCAAAAACCTGTAACTCAGCCAAGCAATCAAAAGAGAACTACAGCAAGCCGTTACCTACTATTTGCACACTTTTAAATCAGTAATTGGCTGTATAATACAATACGTTTATCTTTTTTTCTACGTCTTGTGATCGGACAGATCCTAAGCGTTATTGTTGGCTAAAATATTTCGCGCCACTTCCTCAACCATTCACAATTAAAAGCTCAAACTAGCTCGTTTTCTCGCCGCGCTTTTTTCTCGCCCTTAACAGTTAACGCGGGGTACATGCAGCGCATAATACAGTTGTTACTTGATAGCGAAGTCTAGTCGTCTACGGAACACAACATGAAAACATATTTTAAGGGAAGATCTAACTTTGCGCACGGTTCTAGCATGCACAATCGGCAAGTAGGAAGAAGCCGCACGAAGGCAAAAAAGCCATGTTTCTACCCTTGATTTTGGGAAGAGGGGGTTCTCAATTTGCGCACCAGTCTAATGTGCAACAGCGGCGAGAAGGATGACGGTCAGTGCGAAGGCCGAGAAGCGCCATTTTTTATTTTCTTAATTTGGGGGAAGGGAGGGCCTACTACTGTCAACTCTCTCTTAACAGACACCTAGAGTTGGTCCGTGCTGTCTTAGTATGAGATTCTGGGATTCTGCGCCCATCTACCCCTCCCGTGATCCAAACTTTTGTCCAAAGTTAGACGTTAGTGTTAACGTTAGGTTAAGAGAGGGTTAGGTGGGTAAGACGGCCACTTTGTGCCGGTCGGTGTTCGCCTTGGAGAGAGTTGACTGTACCCTCAATACTCTCCGAAAGATCAAAGAGATTAAAAGATTACCTGCGAGAGGAAGTATGGCCATTCCGTAAGCTTGAGTAAACAGACCATACTCGTGAAATGCTTCTAACTCCAAACCAAACTTACGCCAGCTGTGAATTGAATGCACAAAGAGGGCTGCTAACGTCGCCTCGAGACGGGTCATCCTTAATTTACGCAGACCAATGAACCATGACCAGGGCATCGATGAGAGAAGAAGAACGAACATCCAACGAAACAATAGCAAAGGCGAGATAAACCTTTAAAAAGTAAAGATAAGCCTTCAGAAAGAGGAGCAAGTATCTCATTTATCGTGTGCTTGACAATCGTTCGCGCGAAAATGAACAAGGTGGTGACGCAAAAGCATAGCCAAATATCTCACAATTACCACTTTTTCACGATTAATGTAACTCAATTCCGCCTTATAAATTTGCTCTAGGTTTCACATTTTGAGGGTGTTCTAACTCTTAAAAGACGTTTCGGAGCTGCATCTAAGAGGAAGGCTTGCCCTGCCGTTTTCAAGTCTCGAGTTAAAAACTATTAAAGGATATCTGTTTGTGACCTCCCAAAATAAGTCCTTCACGCGACCACAAGGTCCCCTCTCCCATTTTGATTTGCATACATGTTCCATAATGTAGTTTCCTTGGGGAGGATTTTACCTTTTAGTGCCTTCCTCTTACAACTGTATACAGGGCTACAAATAAAAGTCGGTGTCCGTCATCGGACAATATCTAACTAAAACTGGCCCATGCCTCAAGTATCAAAGACTACCATAGAAAAGGGAAGTGTGACGTCACAAAAACTCAAATTTGTGAAATTATGAGATTGGATAGCATATTTAGAAAGAACAAGATGAAAAAAAAAAACCCTTGCCAAATATCAGCCTTCTTGTGGAAATTGGCGGGGAGATATAAGCACCTTTATTCTCTGTTGACTCCATACAAATCCTTTTATAATTGGCTTGGATCGAAAAGTTTACGATCCAAGCCTATTTTAGAAGGATTTCTATGCAGTCATTGGAGGATAGGTTGATTTTGGCAATTGAACATTCCTCATCTTGTTCTTTTTGGATATGCCGACCTATCCCATAATTCAGTTCTCAAATTTAGTTTTTGTGACGTCATCACTTTCTCTTCTCTATTTTGCGGATCAATAAAATAATCTACTCAAGGCTTTTATTCAAAGTTTTTGCTAAAGACGCGTAATCCGTTGATTGAGTTCAACACATTTTTGTTTCTTCGGACCAAAATGGTGACTTAGCCGGACATCTGTCCTTTTAAAAAAGATAAACTAATTGGAGATCTGATATCTGTGGCAAGGATAAGTTCTAGGATAAGTTCCTCAAGCTAGAAGGAAAAGTGTAGCTTGTCATCCAAAAAATATTAGGACAAAAATCAGTGCATTAAGTAGAAATCCTGAGTTCTACTTTTCGTGACAATTAGACGGCAGGATATGTCCCAAAATGGAGGTAAGATTTTTCACAGTTTTGCAACGTGGCATGTTACACGAACTTGCCACCGAAATCGCTAGTTTTAGGCGCGAAAACCAAAACGGAAGCAGTTACATATCAAAGGATTCCAATGGTTAGCCGCTGATGACCTCACATGCACATATTCGTACATTCCTTCGCGTAGATGTTACACTGCAATTTAGAAGAGAAACAAGGCGGTTTCTCAGTCACGACACACCCGATCTTAAAGAGGGGTTTCTGATAAGTTTGTATAGATTTGCTTTGATTGATAAGCTTACAATAAAAGTGTTTTGTAGTTCATTAAACGCTTTCACACGTATTCAAGATCAAAGCTTCTGATTTTCAGTTGAGATCCAGCTTGATCATAAGCGATTGTTATGTTAAATACCGTACCAAGAATTTCAATTTTAAGCCACTGTTGACCTTAGACGCACGTATTTATTTTGCACAGAAATTCAAGTAAGTCAAGTAAGAAATAAAAGGGGGTTTCTCACGACACAGGAAAAGGGCTTCCGTTTGGAGTCTCTCTAGATTTGCTTTGATTCTTAAACTACTTCTACGATCATTAAATTCTTTCACACGCATTAGTTCAAAGTTCTAGTTGAGATCAGATTAAGAATGAGCGTTTGTTCTGCTATATTAGTACCACGTGTCTCAGTCCATATTAAATCGGGAAAAAGTAAATATGGTCAAAAATGGAGGCCCATGCAGTTTGTTAAGACTGCAGTTCAGAAAACCACTAAGCGCTATTTCAAGTGATTTTAAGCTAAGATTAACATTTTCAAAACAACAAAGTATTATTTAGTTTCAAAATAGTCAACTTGACGTTTAGTTTGCAGACCACTCATTCTCACTAAGGAGACGTACAGATTACAGGCAGTATTAACGTTCGTATCTATTTCCGAGACAGAAAATTCATCTTCAAACTTAAATGCGAAATTCAATGTCCTTTTCCGTATATCCTAAATTGTAATATTGTAATCTATTAACTAAAATTACAGTGAAAGTCGCCGATTTAGCGACCTGTGCTCGGCGGTCATATGGCAAGGCTGTAGTGAATTATAGTTAGTGTTTATGGTCTTTCTAAACTGAGTTAAAGTAAGCTAAAAATTTGAACGAAATATTATTTACTGTCTGTTTTCTCCATAATTCGCCTCTTTCACCCTGTTTGTCAAGATATGAAGCCTGCTTTGAGATGTCGTGTGCAACCCCAAATTCCATTGCGATAGCTAGGCAGCCATTTCAAATAGTTCAGAACCTTCGTGTAATATTGCATTCTGACGACCAGTGTATAATTTCAGGTCGTTTAAAGCGGTTTTTGTAAAGGTTGAGTTTGGAGCACTGCAAGAGTCTACGTAGTTTATCAGAAAATAATGGTTAACGCAAGAAAGGAGGAAACTATAGGCTGTTAAACAGTTTTAATAGCACGCACGTTTTTGCTCTTCAGGGATGCGACCCTGGATCTAAGAGTCTTTTACCCTCGTCCTGATGCAAGTCTGTTTTAGCCTCAATAAATCAAGAAGAGTACGGTCAATGTCAAGATCTTTAAAGAAAAGAAGGAAAACTCGAGTCTGGAACGGGAATAAAACTTGTAACCTTACTTATTTACCAGCTGGAATATTATGATTTCACCAAGTCAAAAATCTACAAGATTAGAGGTTCTATTTTGGTTGGGGGATTGAAATTTTTACCCCTTTTTTGTCTGATTACGACGTTCGGCAGTATTCCTTATCTACTAATTGCTGTACAACAACTATAATAATACAAAAAAATCAAGAAACAAGGTTGGTTTTCAAATGTCAGACTGAGGTCTATCATCAAACACAATATTTTTCAAGTAACAAACCCACCACTTACTGCCTAAACGAAACGAATGTTCCGCTAAAACCTACTGGACTACGCATAAATTCAAAGTCCCTGAGAACAAGACAAACTAAAGAACAGCGATATATATAGAAATTCGCAACTGAAAGTCAGTTAGCCACCACAGATTTTAATTTTTGTCCTTTTACAATATGTTAGTGTGTTTTTCCTCTCAGTATATTGTATCAATATCCTAATTTATGCAAAATTTTTCACAATTAAGCCGTTGAGCTACCAAAATGTAACAAACAGAGCACCTAACTACCACGCAAGCAACAAATAGATGCTAATTTACGTTTAGTTTTGCTTCCGACGCATTGATATTTACGTTCCCTTTACAGCTCAGTGGAAATTCGATTAAGAGTTTCAAATCTGCCAACTAACAAGCATAGGCGACTGTAAACTCACGAGTTCAAGTTGGTTAGAAACAAAGAAAAATACACGCTCACGAAAAGCTATTGGGAAAAACACGCTCGGTCGATGACACACATTCAACAACACACAAAGGAAATAAGAAACGTCTGTAGGCGGGCTTAAGTCGCTCAACAGCGCCGAAAAGCTAACTATGGCTTCGACAAGGCTCAGCTATTAAACAAGTTCATAGCAAAGTTTCATTAAAATGGCCTCCAACCTTACAGACATCATGTTACCTCTAGTCCTGGTTCGTTCTAAAGGTGTAGATGAATTGCTCAGTGGTTTAAACATTTGTGGACTGGGAGCTCATAGTCCCGTGGCATATCACACCATATATCTCCACACGAAGCGACTGCAGTAATTTATATATCTATGGCAAAATTTTTATCCACTTCAATCTGCTCCATCTCTCTAAACTGCTCTCTGAAAGGTCTTTTGGTAAAATCTTAAGTAAAGTTGGACAACAATCAATTTCCGCGTTTATAGAACTCAACTCATCCTTTTAACAGTCACACCGCCTTGGCGTCCTGGCTACTCCTGCACATCGCAACAAACCCATCTTTTGCACTTGTGAGATAAGAGCTCTGGTCGACAGACAAACTACTGATGTCGTATTTGTTCGATTTACTTCGACCAAGCTTTCGATCGATTCAGTTCACACAACCACGTCATCCTAAACTTAGAAAGAGTTGATAAAACCAGTTTTACTCAATCGCTGTTGAGTTATAACCTCGGTCAACCTCGGTACTGGTAATCCTCAACGTCTTGTAATCGAAGGATTTCTATCCGTCTGCAAGGCAACAGTCTTGTCTGGAGTTCCACAACAAAGCATAGTAGGCACGCTTTAGTCATCTTGTATGTTTATGATATTAACCGTCTATCAAGTCCTACTGAAATCTGTGCTTACCATACTTAAGTGGTCTATCGTGTTCCTTCCTCCACAATACCTGATACTGTTCAAGAAAGCCTCAGACAAATAGCAGATTAGTGTTGCACATGGTTCTTAAGAAATAACACCGGCCGACAAATACTAGTGTATGGTAAATGAGAGTGCCTATACCACACAAACATCTTGGAGTTCTTCGAGTCTCTGATTATCTTTAATGGAGATCCCTTGTTTTTAAACAATCGTCGCCAGGTGAAACAGATCAATTAATGGGCACAACTACGCGCACGCTTGCATGGAAAGTGTTCCTATAAAAGCTCTTGGTACACGAGTACAAATTTCTGGTGCGTCCGTACTAAATTACCAGACTACGCTTGTCCTGTTTGGAACCCGCAACAAGCATCTTTCCGACAAACTCGATCATGTCCAACGTAATACATCTAGACTGATCGAGGGGAATGATACCCCATTTGAGAATCGGCACAAAACTCTTAATTTTCCAACTTCATATCTAAGTAAAGATTATCTCGGTTTCGCTTCAACTATTTAAATTTATCAAAAGTGACTTTGCTGCAAACCTTGAAGATTACACAGAGCCATCGTTACGAGCGTTGAAAGCTCGACTTTCGAACCAACGTTAATTCTCAAAAGCACTTTTTGGTTTAGATATTACTAATTGGAAAAATCTACATGCCTTAATGGTACGAATGTAACGCAGTTTATGGTATAAAAAAGGGTTAAAGATTTCTTAAATAAAGGTAATTAATTACTACAAATTTCAGATCTAGTGTACATGTTTTTCTGTAAGCAATTTGTAGGTTTATGTTACTCGTGTATTTCACAGAAAACAGTTACGGTATCATCATTTCATTGTACTCATTATCTGGTTTCTAGGTTTTTTTTTTCAGGTTTTCACACACATTTAAATTGAATGCCCCTAAAATTTCACTTGAGGTCCAGGTTGAAAATAAGCGACTGTTATATTAGGAAGTTTAGTTTTGAGCCGCTTTTGACCTTACACGCACATATCCAAACACTGCTTCGCGTGCACATTATACTGCAATATTCAAGTAAAAAAATCAAGCGCGTTTCCCACGACACGAGAAAAGGACTCCAATTTGAGTTTCTCTTGAATTGCTTTAATAGCTTTAAAATGAAAGTGCTAATTGGGTCTGTCATTAAATTCTTTCACACGCATTAGTTCAAAGTTCTAGTTGAGATGCACATTAAAAATGAACCTTTGTTCTTTTAATTGATGTACCACGTATCTGTCCATATTGAATGCGGAAAAACTAAAGATGGTCAAAGATGGAGGCCCATGCAGGTGGGAAGACTTAAGAAACCATTAAGCGCTGTTTCAGGTGATTTTAAGCTAAGGTCAACTTTTAAAAATAAAAAACAAAGCATTATATCGTTTCAAACAATCACCTTGTCGGTTAGCTTGACCACTCTGTCCAAAAGAGACTACAGATTAAACGAAATATCAGCGTTCACCGTGATTTAATGCCGACAAGATTCATCGTCAAACTAGAACGTGAAAGTCTATATCCTTTCTGGTATATTCTAAATTGTAAGTGTATAGTAGTTTAAAACCCCACTATGTAGTTCAAGTTCACTAGAAAATAATAGGTAACGCCAAGAAAAGTGGAAATCATTAGCTTTTAAACAGATGTAATGTTGTGCACATGTTTGGACTTCATGGATGCGACCATGGTTTGACTAGTATCAGCAGCACACAGCTTACATTTACAGTCAAGTGTTACGGGAATTATCAAGCTCCTGTTATAGATTAGGACGAGCAATTAGGGACCACTTGGAATTGACTTCCATTGGACTATACTGGGTGAGTTGCCCAAACCTTGCTTCACTTGTTTAGTAGACAAAGTATTTATTATAACATAAAAACTTGATTCTGGGATCACTCTGCACGAGTCTACTAGCAATGTAACCCACTGAGGTAAAATTTTACCCAATTTGCACAAGCTGATTTTCCTACATGTTCTTTTGTTTCGACCTGCTTTGAATATAGGAAGCTACAGGAAAACCTCATATAAAAGCGCAGCTGACATTAGTATTTTACAAAGTCAAAAATCATGACAAACAATTTAGACCACCTGATAACAGAAACTGAACAACATTAAAAGGGACCAAAATCTGACAATGAAGACAAACATTAAGAAGTGTCATTGTATATACAGATATTGCGATCATCAGAATGGTTTAATTCCTTCGACCTATATACTCCAGTATATGATTATTTCAGGCTATCGTGGCATTATTTCACAACTAGTATGTTTGACTAGTTCTCTTTAATCTTCAAACACAATTGTAAGCTGAGATGAATTCCTCCAGTCAATCAACAAAATAAACTGTTAACTTTGGGAACAATAACGGCTTTGCGCCCCGAGAGCAAAGTTGTTTGTCACGGAACTATTTTCACTGCCTCACAAGCTAAACAAATGTCCTTTCTATCCAAGGTGCAATACATTTTACCACCCTGATGAATTCTTCTCGCAAAGATTATCCTTACCAGGCTTTCTAACTGACTGAAAATCTTCCTACGTGCATGGCCTTGCCACTGCACAGATTAAGTGATAACTGTTTCAAAGGAATTGAACCCAACAGGAAGATTTCCCAAGTAAAATTTGAAGAAAAATATCCCTGGGTTTTTCAAAACAAAATAAATGTGACTATCAGGATTTTTAACAAGTGAACTTGAACAACTCTCCCCATTTCAGAGGACAAAAGAAGGTTCCACTATTGCCATTCCTGGGAACAATAAACTTCAGTTATTTCTTTTACTTTGAGGTTTAATAATTGACTTTAAACATTCTGGGCCTTTTTATTCAGACGACAGGAGAAAGTCCAAGTAATGTGTTACCGGCCAAGGGAACAACTTGATTTAAGTTAAAGATTGGTTACGTAACACTGAATAAGAATTTATTTAATTTATAAAATGAACGAAATCTCCTGCGCACAAAAACTTTAAGGAAAGACAGAAATTTTTTGGCAAGAAAACTGTTTTGTCACCCTTTGAAACTTGCAAGATCAGTAAATGAATATCTCTTATTTTAATGTATAATCTGTTTTTTCTTTTTTCAACGATTTTTTTTACCACTTAACCCAGTCGCCACATGAAACTGTCTACTTGACGGATTGAATTAAAACAGAGTTTTACTTACGATTCTCCTAAGATCATGAGACTGGCATTAAGCAGACATGGAAGTGGGTGATAGGCAAGAAAGAAAGGGTAGCCCAATGTTAATTCATCGAACCAAAGATCGGTTGTTCCACCTTTAAGAAGTTCTTTCAAGTAAAGTGCTTCGACTTGATGTGAGTACATATCACCTCCGTGGGCATACCCAGTGTTGCTTGTCAAGAACGGGTTAGAGTTGGAGACCAGTGAGAAGAAAAATGATGAACTCGTAGAAATCAGAACAGCGAAGCTCAACCAATGGGGAATGTCAAACTCTGTCAGAGAATCTTCCTGAATGTCTGTGGCCGTGTCTAATGGATCTTGAGCACCCATCTTCAGTTTTGAGTTTTGCGGTCTACAAAACTTAGTTATGCAGCTGTGTCTAGATCTGTCGCCGATCCTCCTTAAATTGGGGATCTGCGAAAAGGGCCAATCGCTGATCATGAATTTTTAAGCATGTAATTCCTTTTCCAACCCACGCAGGAAACGCGCAAGATTCCGGCGTCGACCGGTGTGCTCAAATTAGACACCTATCAACTCGCACGCGAAGTCCTGATAATGTAGCCGCTGTGCCATCGTTTATAATCGCGTTCTTAAACATCTTTTGTGGTTTGATTTGTGGCTAGATTCGCGGAATCCGACAGTTTGATTTCTTCCCGGGAAGTTGGCGGAGTCCTAAATTTCGCCCCTTTCGCGGGAGGTATCCAATTCTGGAGGTCATGACACACTGATGTTACCTTATCCTCTCGTAAATTCGTGGAAAGCACATGTAAAAAGATACTGATCCCCGTGGAATTAATATTCCACCACAAAGAGGGCTGTACTGATAAAAGATTTCCCTCTAGGTGAACTTGCGCTTTTCTGAGTTCATGTTCATAAACATGACGCATAAACTGTTTTGGTAGCACACCGCAGACAAATGGAATATGGTAATAGTAGTAACAGCAAAGAAAGAGTACTAACTGAACAGAACAGGACAAATCTCGAGCGGCTTCCGGGGATGAAAGAAATTGTATTCTACTACGATGTCGTTTGTCCATTTGCCTTTATGGCTAATAAGCTCATGGAGGGTGTTGCTCGTCGAACTGGAGCAAAAATTCGATGGAAATCGGTTCTTCTGGGTAAAGTATAAAAACACTGAATGATGACAAGGCAGAATAGCTAGATTTGATTTGTTTATGTGATTGGCTTATCGGCATTTACGAGTAACTTTAAACAAAATCGTGTATATTATCCCAAAAGTTCAAAAAAGAATTTGGACAAAAAAAAAACAAACAAACAAACCAAAAAAAGACAAGAAATAAAGACCAGTCTCTTCGAGTGTCAGTCAAAACTCTGATCCAGACTTAGCAATAATTCAAGATACCCTCCATCTTTGCACGCGCGTTAGGATTGATGGGATAAAAGCAATGTCACGTGGTATTTCAGGGGGGCAAAAAAGTGATAAAATTCACCCATACGAGCAGACGCGGACGACTCTGTTCATTCTCTCAAAATGAGACAATTATTTTAGTCACGCAAAATTTACAGTCCAAGTTTTGACAAGTTTTACGTCTTTATTGCTTCCTGTGGAGACATCTGTAGTCGCTACTGCATCCAAAAAAATAACACTGAACACTTCCACCCATAATTGGCCATTATTGTCTTTAAAATTAAAGGTTCCTCATTTTCTCTTGTATAGAATAAAAAAACTCGACCGCGATTTCTTGTATGGGCAGATTTTTTCAGTTCCCACCCCCATGAGAAACCACGTGACATCACTCCGAAAGCGCCTTGCAAAGATGAGCCAAAAATTCTAGAAGGTTAGAGGTTCAATTCCGATCCGGTTAGGAATATTTTTCCTTTTTTCCGACTAGGATATTTGGCAGTATTCCTTACCTAGTTATTCCTGTATAACAACTATAATTATACAAAAAATCAACAAACAAGTTTTGTTTTCAAATGTCACAAGAAGGTGTATCATGAAAGCACAATGCTAGTAATACGCACCACTTACTGCTTGAACGAAACCAATGTTTCGTTTAAACAAAGCACTAAGCATAAATTCAAACTCCTCAAGCGCAAAATAAAGAACATTTTTAGTTTTTTTATATATATATAGAAATTCACAACTGAAAGTTTTAGCCACCACGTATTTCAATTTTTGTCCCTTGACAATATGCGGTTAATGTGTTTTTCCTCACTGTATATTGCATCGATATCCTAATTAATGTAATTAAGCCATTTGGCTGCCACAGTAACACTAACAGAGCACCCCAACTATCATGCAAACAACAAGTAGATGCCAATTTTCCTTACGTTTTGCCTCCAAAGGGTTGCAATTTACGCTTCTTTGACATAATGGTGGAATTTCGATTAGTTTCAAATTTGCAATCATAAGCGAGTAAACTGGCAAGTTCAAGTTGATTAGAAACAGAGCAAAATACGAGCTCACGGAGTGCTACTGGAGAAAACACGCGCACTGAGTCAAAAACGCATATATGTAACCGCAACACTAAAAATTTGGGGGACATTTATGACAGATTTTCACACTCAAAGGCAAAGTCAAGATTTAACCACATGAAAAGGTCTAACTAATGGCTTCGACATCGCTTATTCATTTACCGAGGTCCTAACATCAGTTTTCGTCAGGAAAGGCCTCCAACCTTTTACAGATCAATCAAGACACCTCTAGTCTTGCTTTGTTCTAAAAAAGGGGACAAATTGCGTAGTGGTTTAAAGATCTGTTGACTGAGAAAGCCCATGGTCCCAATGGCATGTCAGCCCATATCTTCGTGAAGCGGCTCCAGCAATATAAACATATCTGCCAAAATATATTATCCACTTCAATCTGCACACAAAACTCATTCCGTTTTTCACAAGGGCGAAAAGGAGCAAGTCTCTAACTATCGCCCCATCTCTCTGACGAATCTCTTGGTAAGATCCCTGCAAAGGCGGGTCTACAACCAATTTCTGCGTTTGTAGAACTCAGCTAATCATCTTAACAGTCACACTGGCTTTGCGTTCTTGACGGTGTCTTGACTCAAATCGCAACTAACTTTTCTTTCCCACTTGTGAATAAGGGCTCTAGACGAGCGACAAACTACTGATGTAGTATTTATTCGATCTACTTCGACAGAGATTCCGACTCAGTTTACACAACAATGTCATTCTAAAGTAAGAAAGAGCTGGTATAACCGGTTCGCCGGCTTCCATCGTGGTTGGCTGATTACCTCGGCACTAATCATTCTCAACGTCTTGTAATCGAGGAATGTCTATCTGACTGCAGGGCATCAGTCTTGTCTGGAGTTTAACAAGGAAGCATACTGGGCATGCTTTTAGTTATCTTGTATGTTAATTACAGTCACGATCCATCAAGTCCTACTCTCTCGTAATCAATCCTGTTTGTCCCTCCATAATACCTGATACTCTTCAAGAAAGCCTCCAACGAATCTCAGCTTAGTGTTGCACATAGTTGTTAAGAACTAACGCCGACCAAGAAATACTAGTGTATGCTATATGAGAGTGCTTACCGTCCAGACAAATATCTTGGAGTTCTTCTCTCTAATGATCTTTTATGAAGATCCCAAGCTTTATCAATCGACGCCAGATGAAACAGGTCAATTAATGGCCATAACTACCCGCACGCTTGCATGGGAAATGTTCTATAAATGCTTTTTGTACCGAGTACAAATTCATGGTGCGTCCGTAATAAATTACTAGAGTACGCTTGTCCTGTTTGGAACTCGCACCAAGCATTTTTCCCACAAACTCGATCATGTCCAACGTAATACAGTAAGACTGATCGCGGGAAATGACGCTTCATTTGAGCATCAGCTCAAAACTCTCAATTCTCCAACTTTATATCTCCGTAAAGATTGCCTCGGTTTACTACAACTATTTGAAATTATCAAAAGTGGCTTTGCAGCAAACCTTGAAGATTGCATGTTCTTTAACAAAAGGGAAACTCCTGTATACACTCGTGTATTTCACAGAAAACACAGTTATTGTATCATTTCATTGTACTCATTATCTGATTTCTATTAGTTTTTTCACAATTTAAGTTCAAAGCTCCTAAATTTAATTTGAGATCCAGAAAATGAGCAATTGTTATACCAGGAATTTTAATTTTAAGCCGATGTTGACCTTGCACAAGCCCTCTTCTCGTGTCGTGAAAAACCCGCTTGATTTTTTACTTGAAGTTTTACTTGAATTTTATCATAATGCCCCCGCGAAGCAATGCGTGAATTCGCCCAGATTTACTTAACAGTTTAAAACGAAAGTGCTTCCTGGGTCTGGTATTAAATTCTTTCACACGCATTAGTTTAAAGTTCTAGTTGAGATGCACATTAAAATGAACCTTTGTTCTTTTAATTGAAGTGCCACGTATCTGTCCATACTAAATCCTGAAAAAGTAAATATGGTCAAAGATGGAGGCACCTACAGTTTCTGAACACTCCAGTTCAGAAACCCATTAAGCGCTTTTTAAGTCATTTAAGCTAAGGTTAACTTTTTTGAAACAACAAAGCATTATATCGTTCTAAAACAATCACCTTGTTGTATACAACGTGTAGTTTGACCACTCACTCCCACCAAAGAAACGTACAGATTAGACGCAATATTAACGTTCATATTTATTACCGAGATAGAAAATTAATGTTCAAACTAGAACGCGAAATTCAATATTTTTTTTCGCATATCCTGAATTGTAACTGTGCCACCCCTGCCCACTGAAAAATACTTAGTAGCACTCTAACGTTCCTCGAATTTTCTCTGCATTTGTCTGACCGAATTTATTAGAAGCCAAGGTAGATCCACACCGTTTTCATAACCCGATAAATGCAACTAAGGCAGCGCTCCAAGCTGCGACCATTTTGGTCACCATTGAGAGAAGAAAAGGAACAACTAAAATTGTAGTAAAAGTCGCCAATTTGGCGACCTGTGCTCGGCGGTCATGTGCCGAGCTGTATGTACTGGTTAGTGTTTATGGTCTTTCTAAACTGAGTTAAATTAAGCTAGAAATTTGCACGAAATATCATTTAATCTCTGTTTTCTCCCAGTAATTCGCCTCTTTCACCCTGGTTGTCGAGGTATAAAGCCTGCCTTGAGATGTCGCGTGCAACTCCAAATTCCATCGCGATAGCTAGGCAGCCATTTCAAATATTTCAGAACCTTCGTGTAATATTGCATTCTGACGACTAGTGTATAATTTCAGGTCGCCAAAAGGCGACTTTAAAAAGGTCGAGTTTGGAGCACTGCAAGAGTCTACGTCTTTGAAGTTTATTAGAAAATCACGCAATGGTTAACGACAAGAAAGGAGGAAACCATAAGCTGTTAAACAATTTTAATGGTGTGCACGTGTTTACTCCTCAGGGCTGCGACCCTGGATCTAAGACTCTTTTTAGCGTTGTCCTGATGCAAGTCTATTTTTAGCCTCAATAAATCAATAAGAGTACGGTCAATGTCAAGATCTTAAAAGAAAAGAGGGAAAACCCGAGTTAGGAGCGCGAAACAAACTAATGACCCTCCTTATTTACCAGCTAGAATGTTATGATTTCACCAAGTCAAAAATCTACAAGATTAGAGGTTCTATTCCGGTTGGAGAATTACAATTTTTACCCCCCTTTTGCCTGATTACGACATTCAGCAGTATTCCTTATCTACTAATTGCTGTACAACAACTATAATAATACAAAAAAAAATCAAGAATTAAAGTTGGTTTTTAAATGTCAGACAGAGGTCTATCATCAAACACAACACTTTTCAAGTAACAAACGCACCACTCAATGCCTCATCGAAACAAATGTTCCGTTAAGAACTAAGGACTAAGCATAAATTCAAAGTCCCTGAGAGCAAGACAAGCTAAGGAACAGCGATTTATATAAATATATAGAAATTTGCAACTGAAAGCTTTAGCCACCACATATTTCAATTTTTGTCCCGTCTCAGTATATTGTATCGATATTTGATTTTTTAGCTTTTACAATTAAGCTATTGGTTTACAACAATGTAACAAACAGAGCACCTAACTTTTATGAAAGCAACAAATAGATGCTAATTTACGTTTAGTTTTCCCTCAAAATGCATTGCTATTTACGCTCCGTTGACGTGAAGTCAGTGGAAATTCGACTAATTTTGCCAAAGAACAAGCAGATCTCTAGCTAGAAGCTTATTCCAGAAGCGAGAATATCAGATTTAAGAACATAGGAGAAGGCTCCTCCGATGAACCCGAGGATGTCGAAGAAACTCTAAGAGATTTCTTAGAACGCGAACCTTTTAGTTGTAAACCGATACTCTATATCTCATTTGCACAAATCGGAATAATCTCTCATGCTATTATTCTTTGGGTGAAACTTGTCAGATCCTTTTTCGCCACAGCAACAAAAGAAACCGACCTTACAATTGGTTCAATTAATGCTAGGGGATTGGGAGACAGAATCAAGCGACGGGAATTCTTTAATTGGCTGCGAAAAAAACAAATGGCAATGTATTTTATTCAAGAAGCTCATTGTACCGAAAATAATATGTATGATTAATGATTGGCGAGCTGAATGGGGTTATCAGGCCCTTTTCAGTTGTTGCTCTAGCAAAAAGGCAGGTGTTATCATATTGTTTGACAATACTTTCACCTTTCAAATTTCGAGAGCATACTGCGATCCTGGCCGTGGGGGACGCTTTATAATCGGTGACTTGATTACAAACGGGAAACCACAAAAACCTTGGTATTAAAATTTATACGCTCCAAACAATGACGATCCAACTGTTTACCTTTTCAAGTGCGATGAGGTCATAATTGGAGGGGATTATAATTTAGTTTTGGATGTTGAGAACGATAAAAAGGCGGCCTTGCAAAAACCCACAAAAAACCGTTGGAAGTCATAAATAGCTACTGTGAAGACTAAAATTTAGACCCAATAGATCGTTTTCACTGTCACGCAACAAAAAAATAAATTGGAAACCGTCCAGTGGAAGAAGCCAAGAAAATGAATGTTATAAAAGACTAATATATAAATAATTTGTCCAAGTCTCAGGTCTTTGTGGCCCACAGTTTCTGAGTTATTTGCCGAAACGTTTCACGCACCTTTGTAGAGCTTTGTATCGAGACGCCATATTGGTGTACCGTTTTGGTGCAACAATATGGCCGCCGGAAATCAACAAAAACACCTGGAGTTCCCTTTTTCTATAAAAGTTCTTTCTTTTCACTCGAAACTAGCATACGGGCGCATACACCTATCTTCTGACACTTGAAATGGTTATACAGCTGAAAATCAAGAGGAGATACTTTTTTTCAACGAGACAGAATTCCTATTTTGGTGTCACGCATTGTGAAAACTCGGAAGTTCAAATTGCTGTATTTTCGAAATGAAACATGCTACGGGAATGGAAACTTGTACGAAGATTTACTTTTTATCTATTTTCAACCTAGTATAAACAAGGATTCGTAAAACCTCGCTATTTTGACTATACAATTTGATGACGGCACTGTGAAAACCATCTCTTGATGTCTGGAGGATACAAAACCCTGAACAACGAAGATTTACATGGAGACAAAAGAACCCCGAAATACATCGCAGACTTGATTTTTTTTCTCGTAAATATACATCTTGCAACTCAATCAATACAGACATCCCTAGTTATAAGACAGATCATTCACTGATCACATTGCAAATATCGACGCATAACAACATGAGAGGACGAGGTTTCTGGAAACTAAATACCTCATTCCTAAAGGACGAAGAATATATAAAGAAAATACAATCAATTATAACTCAAACTAAAGATGAAAATGCACAGGATAACACTATCACTCCAAATTTACTGTGGGAAACGATAAAAATGAAAGTTAGAGAGACATCAGTTGAGTTTGGCAGAATAAATAAGAGAAAGCTTTTTCAAAAACAAGATGATATAGAGAAAACAATCAAAATCCTAGAGGAGCAGACCGCTAACACTGATGTCAAAAGACTGTCCAAATGTATAGTCAGAGCTAGAAAAGACGGGAACTTGAAACCATAACCGAATACCAGACAAAAGGGGTTATTTCAAGATCTAAATCGCGATGGTACAATGAGGGCGAAAAAAACACTAAATACTCTCTAAACTTAGAGCAGAGACACTGCAAAGAAGGAACAATCACCCAATTGAAAGTTAATGGCAAAGACTTAATCCAGTCGGTCAAAGAAATCTTACATGAGTGTGAGGCTTTTTGTAAAAATCTGTACTGTTCAAAAGTACAAGGTAACGATGATTTCTCTCCAGCTACACGACAAGTATTGAGTGACGAAAGTAAACAGCATTGTTAGGGTCTTTTAAGTCTTATAGAATGTTTAGAAGCATTAAACGGTATGGCCACAGAAAAAACGCCTGGTACTGATGGTCTGCCTTGTGAATTTTATAAAGTTTTTTGGAAAGACATAGGTGAAACACTAACAGAGGCCCTAAACTTCTCTTACCAAACACGATAACTCTCTGTATCACAAAGGCGAGAAATTTTCAAGCTCAAACCAAAGAAGGACGCCGACGCCAACTTGATTAAAAATTGGCGCCCTTTGACACTATTAAACTGCGATTATAAGATTGGGCCAAAGACCATAGCAAATCGAATAAAAACAGTCTTACCGGAACTTATATCAGAAGATCAGTCAGGTTTCATTAAAAATAGATGCATAAGTGACAATATACATACGTTAGATAGCTCTATTAAGTATGCAGAAAGCAAAGGATTACCCAGTCTACTTCGTTTCTTCGATTTTGAAAAAGCTTTTGACACTCTAGAGTGGTCATTCATAAATCAAACTTTTACGGCATTTTGGTTTTGGCCCCTCACTGTTAAACTGGGTTGGACTACTTCACTGCATTATTGAAAGTTGCATACTAAACAATGGATGGGCGAGCAATTTCTTTGATTTAAGTCGAGGTGTTAGACAAGGCTGCCCCTTATCGCCTTCATACTGTCCGTAGAAATAATCGATGAAGCTATTCGTAATAAAAGAGAATTAAAGGGTTAAAGGCTATCCAAAATACTGAAGGTAAACTAAGTCAGTATGCTGATGACACGACACTTATTTTAGATGGAACTGAAGAATCAGTAAGAGCGTCACTGCTGCTAATAGAAGCATTTGGCAACATATATTGCAAATGGAAAAACTTCTTTAACTTGGCGCTGGGAACGTACGGAGGAAGTACCTTTTTTGAATTAGGAAGTCTTAACAGGAAAGATATTGATAACCTAAAGATAGAAGACACTTTTGTCAAAGGAATTGCAGAAATTTGGTCTGACACTTTCTTCGAGGGGAAATAGTATCAAAAGATCATTTTCTATCTCTACCTCTGTTACAAAATTCTTTAATATCTTTAATAAGAATAAATAACGCACCAGTTTTCTGCAATGATTGGCTTACCATGGGTATAACACAAGTTAAACATCTAATGGACGATAATTCTCTCAACTTGTTTTCCTTCGACCATATTCAGAATAGATATCGTATTCGAGTAAAACCCTTAATTAATGTTTTTCGGAATAGTCTCAGCCGTGAAATCTTTGCAACGACAAATCCCGGGAACACACCAGCAGTATCAAAGTTCTTTTAACACATTTCTCAAAAGCCAAGTGAAATTGGTCAACAATCAGCTTCTGCGTTCACAAAGAACTCAACTGATCTTTTTAACAGTCACTGCATAGGCTTGGCGTCCTCGCTACTCCTGCACATCGCAAGTAACCCATCTTTTCCACGTGTGTCATAAAGGCTCTAGAGGAGAGACAAACTACTGATATAGTATTTCTTCGATATAGTTCCGGACAACGCTTTCGATTCAGTTCACACATTCACGTCATTCTATAGCAAGAACGAGTTGGTATAACCGGTTCTCCTCCCTCGCTGTTGACTTATTACCTCGGTACTGGTCATATTTAACGTCTTGTAATCGAAGGATGAGTGCAGGGCACCGTTCTTGTCTGGATTTTCATAATGAAGCATACTCGTCTAGGCACACTTTTAGTCATCTTGTATGTTTATGATATTAATCGTCTATCAAGTCCTACTGAAATCTGTGCTTACCATACTCAAGTAGTCTATCGTGTTCCTCCCTCCACAGTATCTGATACTCTTCAAGAAAGCCTTCAACGAATCGCAGATCAGTGTTGGACATGGTTTTTAAGAACTAACGCCAGCTGAGAAATACTAGTGTATGGTATATGAAAGTCCCTACGTCACAGAAACATCTTGGAGTTCTCCTCTCTGATGATCTTTTATGGAGATCCCATGCTTCATCAATCGTCGCCAGGTGAAACAGGTCAATTAATGGGCAGAACTATGAGCACGCTTGCACGTGAAGTGCGTCTATGAAAGCTTTTTGTACTGGGTGCAAATTTCTGGCGCGTCCATAATAAATTACTAAAGTACATGTACACTTCTCCTGTTTGAACCCCCCAACAAGCGTCTTTCAGACACACATTACGTCCAACGTAATACATCTACACTGTTCGAGGGGAATAACACTCCATTTATTGACAGTCGGCTCAAGACTCTTGAATTTCAACTTTTTACCGTTTTATTACAACTATTTGAGTTAAATTCATCGAACGTGTCTATGCCGCCATCCTTCAGTGAAGATTACATGTCCTTTAACTTCAAAAGGGAAACTCGTGTATGTACTTGTGTCATTGTACTCATTATCTAGTTTCTATGTTTTATTTTCACACATTTATTTAAGTTCAAAGATCCTAAATTTCAGTTAAGATCCAGTTTGAAAGTGAGCTCCGATTGTTATATCAGGAATTTTAATTTTGAGCCGATGTTGACCTCACACGCACGTAGTCACACATTGCTTCGCGAGGACATTATGATACAATTCAAGTAAAAAGTCAAGTTAAATAATCACGCGGGTTTCTCACGGGACGAGAAAAGGGCTTCGATTTGAGTTTCTCTAGCTTTTCTTTAATAGTTTTAAAATGAAAGTGCTTCTTGGGTATGGCATTAAATTGTTTCACACGCATTAGTTCAAAGTCTTAGTTGAGATGCACATTAAAAATGAACCTTTGCCCTTTCAACTGAAGTACCACCTATCCGTCCATATTAAATGTGGAGAAAGTAAAGACGGTCAAAGATGAAGGCCCATGCAGTTTCTGAAGGCTTCAGAAACCATTTTAAAAGCGCTGTTTCAAGTGATTTTAAGCTAAGGAAAACAACAATATCGTTTCAAAACAGTCACCTTGTCGTTTACTTTGACCACTCATTCCCACTAAAGAGACGAACAGATTCGACGCAATTTTAACGTTTACATTTATTTCCGAGACAGAAAATTCATCTTCAAACAAGAACGCGGAATTTAATGTCTTTTTTCTTATATCCTAAGTTGTAAGTGTGTTGTACTTAAGAACCCCCATACCCACCGAAAATACTTAGAGTACTCTAGCATTCCTCAATCATGAATTTCATGACCTTGAAATTCTCTGCATTTGTCTGACCGAATTTATTGGACGCCAAAGTGGATCCACACGGTTCTTAACAATCAATAAATGCAACCAGGGCCGCTCTCCAAGCTTCGACCATTTTGGGCACCATGGCGAGTAGACAAAAATTTTGGTAACTAAAATCAGTTGCAGTGAAAGTCACCAATTTGGAGACCTGTGCTCGGCGGTCACATGCTAAGCTATAGTGTATTAGTTAGTGTTTATGGTCTTTCTAAAGTTAAAGTAAGCTAAAAATTTGCACGCAATATGATTTACTCTCTGTTTTCTCCATAATTCGGCTCTTTCACCCTGCTTGTCGAGATATGAAGCCTACCTTGAGATGTTGCGTGCAACTCCAATTCGATTGCGATAGCATGGCAGCAATTAAAAAAAAAAAAAATTCAGAATCTTGTGTAATATTGCATTCTTACGATCAGTGTATAATTCCAGGTCGCCAAAAGGCGACCTTGAAAAAGTTGAGTTTGGAGCACTGCAGAGACTACGTAGTTGAAGTTTATCAGACAATAATGGTTAACGACAAGAAAGGAGGAAACCATAAGCTGTTAAACCGTTTTAATGGTGTGGACGTGTTTGTTCTTCAGGGATGCGACCCTGGTTATAAGAATTGCAATTTTTTTCCCTTGACATTCAAAAGCATTCATTATCTACTAATTGCTGTACAACAGCTATAATAATACAAAAAATCAAGAACTAAAGTGGGTTTTCAAATTTCAGACAGAGGTCTATAATCAAACACAACACTCTTCCAGTAACAAACGCACCACTTAATGCTTCAACGAAACGAATATTCCGCTAAAACTACTAGGCTAAGTATAAATTCAAAGTCCCTGAGAGCAAGACGAACTAAAAAACAACAATGAATTTAAAAATTCGCGACTGAAGTCAGTAGGCCGACACATATTTCAATTTTTGTCCTTTTTACAATATGTTAGTGTGTTTTTCCTCTTAGTGCAGTGTATCAAGTTTTCCACAATTAAGCCATTGGGCTACTACAATATAACAAACAGAGCTCCTATCTACCATGCAAGCAACAAATAGAGGCTAATTTACGTATAGTTTTCCCTCCAATTCATTGCTATATAGGCTCCCTTAACAGTTCGGTGGACATTCGACTAATTTCAAATTTGCCAATGAACGAGTATAGCCAACTGTAAACTTGCGAATTGAACGTCAATAGAAACAAAGCAAAACACGAGCTCAAGAAAAGCTACTGGATAAAACAAGCTCAGTCGATGACGCATATGTAAGAACACAAAAGCACTTTGGGACGTTGATGACAAATTTTCAAACTCAGACAAAGTCAAGATTCACACAACACAAAACTGAGTCGCTGAACAGCGCCGAAAAAGTAACTGTGGTTTCGACAAGTCTTTAGAGATATTCAACAAGTTCCTAACCACAGTTTCATTAAGTCTGAATGGCCTCCAAACGAATTACACACGTCAAGTCACCTCTAGTCCTGGTTTGTTCTAAAGGTGTAGAGAAATTGTTCAGTAGTTCAAACACCTCTTGAGTGAGAGGCCATTGTGCCAATGACATATGA